AGTACTATTTTGAATTTTACTATAATGATCTGCTTGATTATTCGAAAACGCGAAATCAATCCTCATCGCTAGAAACCTTATGTCAGCAACCAAGAATCTTATGCTAATAAAATTTAGATGTATGTAAACGTAACTGTTGTCCGTGTGTGTGTAAAAATTGAAATAGAATATTAAGTACTACTTTGAATTTTACTATAATAATCTGCTGATGTTTTTGAAAACGCGAAATCAAGGTGAAAAAAAAAAAAGAGGGAGACAAAAAATATATAAAGGAAGTCACACAAACGCGTGATTGGTGATTTAGCCAATAGTATTTATCCTTCGAACGCGCGAAATTAATTTTCGTCATCGATCAATAATAACCCACAACCAAGGATCCAATTCTCATATAATCTACACGTATGTTAAGGGTAACTATTGCCAATGTGTGTGAGAGAAATCGGTATAGTTTATTATGTACAATATCGAGTAAATCCAATTACAGTGTTTTCGATATATACTAATACGAGATATTGATCTTTAAATTGCGCAAGATAAGTTTTTGGGTAGAACGACAATGATTATAGTTATTTCCTATGCCGTTTCCCGGCTAAATTGTTTCGAATGAAGGTGATTGACGGTATGAATATGCTGGCGGATACACTATCGAATACGGCTGAAACCTGGAAAATTTCTGGGCAATTTCCTTTTTTGACTTTCGCAAATTCCCGACATTAGCCTGAGGCAGGGTCATGTTGAATTGATTTGGGGTTATCATCGCATCGTGGGGTAGCTGTATCACTTTTGACCGCAGTAATACTGGCTGTTGATGTTGTCGTTCCTCTTTCTTGAACACTTCGCTTGCTTCATCGGCGATGTTCTTGTAAGCACTTCTTATTTTTTCCGGCTCGCGAGACCATGAGTATGATATTACCCCGGATATTTGAGTTATCTTTATCCTTTTCCCTTGACGCTTGAGTTCTTTAACGTATGCTTTGCGATATACAAAGAATGCGTTGGCTGTCTTTGAAGACACGGGCCGCTTTTTTTGCGAGAAAGAAGTTCCGTGGGGGAAATTTCAGGAGGATACGGAACAGTGATTAGATATTCGTTGTTCTGACTGATAGTTGTCATTGCTGAATTGTCGATTGTTCAAAGAGGTGGGGTCGCAGTCTGGGTGGTAGTTTGGTTGTTAATTTTGTGATTGTTCAAAAGAAGCAAGTAAGTATAGCAAGTGATGGGTGGTTGTTGGTATGTAGATACGATGTTGAGTATCGTATGTTTAAAAAGAACTTTCTGCTCAATTGTATGAGACGTTTGTTGAACGCGGGATCGATCAGTGTAGGTTTTGCAGCCCTTATATAGGTTTTTTTTTATATATGCTAAATAATAACGGTGTGCGACACCAAAATTCCACATGCAACACAGGATTTTAAGGCTGAAACCGTCGTACGGACAGTCACGTTACTGTAACCGATTCTGGTTCTCTTGGGGTAGTTTATATCGGGTCACGGCTGAGTAACATTATTTGAAATTACTCTTAGTTTCACCGGAATTTGTGTTGCATTGTTTACTGTAAATAGTGTTGTTGAATGCAAACCTCAAGAAGTTCCTCAGCTGACAACCTGTTCTCGCTATCCTTTGCAAAGCATCGGCCAGTCCCTCCTTTATGTTTTATATCACCAGTTTCATCGAGTTTTTTGAGATTACGGTATATAGTTTTGAGTGGAATCTTTGTCAGAGAGTGGATTTCAGAAGCATTGCGCGTTCCCTGCTTCCAGAATTGTAATATCATTTGACGTTGGTCTTCTTGCTTAGATGGAGCCATTTTACAACGAAATAAAAATAAGAGTTGAAGGATAATTGGAATGATAAAGCGCGTAAAACAATAACACAGTAACCAAGCTTTTGTTTTTATTTTACATGACGCGATTTGGTCCGGAATTGGGAAAGTTACGTATACACAAACTGCGGTGAAACATTTGTCATTTTTTTTGCACACCTGTATCAATTTGTGCAGGGCTGCGCATTTCTTCTAACAAACGACTTGCAACGGTTTTAGCCAAGATGTCGAGCTTAGTATCTAAGTATTCTGAGATACAAAATAAGAACCACAAGAGTAGATAAGTAAAATACTGTGCAGCATGCAAAAAGCATTATTTAAAGCTATATTAATAAAGCGGGCATGAAGTACTTCAACTGAAAAGGAAATACAGTACGGCTCATATAAATAAATTGTTACTCTGTCTACTCTACCCTATGACTACTCTATGTCCCCAACGCCCGAGTCACAAAGTCGTTACCTTGTATTGGCAAAAGAGTTCGGAGCGCTGCAGCAATCTCCGTATCTCCTCCTTCGAAATACTCCAAACGTTCATTCACCGGCTTGCCCAAAAGAATACCCCTTACTCTGCCGCGTTCCTCTTCGTCCGGGAAAAAAGTGGTTAGTTTAGCTTTGGCTTGTTCCCAGGTCATATTGCTTGGAAAGTGCTGCGCGATATGATCTGATCAGTGGCTTAATCAATGACGTATTATTAGAAACTTTCTAGACTTTCACAATGTAACTATTGTCCCCCTGTATGCAGAATGTGGCCAATGATAATCAATGCGCAGAAATTTGCGTTTGTTGTAATAATAATCGTATGCTATAAAATAACATCAATTTACTTACATTTCGAATATGGGGACCTTTGTTTTCATTAAGTTGGCACAATTTGCGAGTTTCATTTTTTATTTAAGAATTTAAATATGCATTGCAAAGATTAACGTAATCAGATATATACAATAATTTTGTCATCTTGACTTTATTATCCCTTTAGATATATTTGAAGATTCACTAGAGCGATTGCATG